TTTATTTTTTACTTGTGTGCCTTGAGAAGTGTATTCTTTAATCCCAATTATGTAGAATTTTTTATCTTATTGATTACTAGTGTATAATTTCATTGTGGATTGAGGACACACATTGTATGATTTCTGTTCTTTTAAGTATTTTAAATTGATTTTATGGCTCAGAATGTGGTCTAGTGTGGTGAATGTTTTATGTGAACTTCTAAAGAATATTTACGTTGCTGTTGAAGGGTAATATAAAAATATTGATTAGATTCAGTTAATTGATGGTACTTTTAAGTTCCTTGCATTGCTTTCTGCCTTCTAGGTCTGTTTGCTTCTGACAAAGGAATGTGGAAGTTCAACAGCTGTCATAAGAGTCATCTGTATTCATTGCAGTTCTGTCACTTTTTGCCTCACCTATTTTAACGGTAAGTTATTATGTGGATGTATATTAAGGACTGGTTTGCCTTTTTGGAGAATTGATGCCTTTTGCATATGTTTATGTTATCACTGATGGTATTCTTAGATCTGAAGTCTACTTTGTCTGAAATACTAGTATAGTTACTTAAGCTATGTTTTTGATTAGTGTTACCACAGTATATTTTTGTCCATCTTTTCAAATTTAATCTTTCTAGGTTTCATTTTTAAAGTGGGCTTTTTGCAGACAACATATAGTTTTGGTCTTTTTAAAATTCATTTTGATAGTGTTTATCTTTTATTCATATTTGGTGCACTGATATTTGAAGTGATTACTTTTATTGTTGAAATAAAATTTGTAATATTGACATTGTTTTCTATTTGTTCATACTTGTTTTCCCTTATTTGATGCCTTCTCTGCTTTTGAATAAATATTTCATATAAGTATAATTTTTCTCTTCTCCTATATATTGACTAAAATCTTAAAAATACTCCTAGTGGTTGTCCTACAGCAATGCACATTTACAAATCATCTAAGTCCACATTCAGATAACACTGCACCCCTGTGGAAGTAGTGCAGGTAACTGACTCCATAGTGCTCACCACCCCTCAGTCCCTTCCTCTGGACACGGGTGCTGGGGCACTTGTTTCCCTTAGGCCTGGGCCATGCATGGTACACCACTACATTGCTGGTGGTACTACTTTGAACAATAGTTACTTCTTAGGTTAGTTGGAAGTATAAAAAATAAGAGATTGTATTTATTTTATGACTTCTGTGATCTAAATTTTGTCTATAATAATTTCCTTCTCTCTGAAGTATTTAGTATTTTTTGGGAGGTAAGTTACAGGAAGAAATTTCTCTCATATATGTTTGTTTTAAAGTCCTTTCTTTCATCTTTCTTTCTTCCTTCCTTCCTTCCTTCTTTTTATTTATATTAGAGACAGGGTCTTCTGTATTCCATGTGACTTGGAACTTTCCATCTTCCTGCCTCAGGCTCACCGGTATTGAGATTACAGATGTTGCCACTATGCCTAGCTCCTCCTTCTCTTTTGAAAGACTTTCATTAGAAACAGATTTTGTGGTAGAGATTTTGTTTGTGTTTTGCTTTTCCTTCAACTTTTTGAAAACTGCAGTCTGTAGCCAGTGGTATATACTGGTAATTTCAGCACTCTGGGAGGCTGAGCCAAGAGAATTCCAACTTTGGGTACAGCCTGGGCAACCTAGCAAGAGCCTGTCTCCAAAAACGATTTAAAAAGTCTGGGGAGATAGATCAGACAGTTAAATCTGACCTAATCTGGTCACACTTTTTTTGCTTAGTGGTGGTGTATGAGAAGTCCCATGTGATTCTCACCCATATTCCTCTAGAGTGAGCTTTCCTTTTCCCTTTGTCATCTTTCAAAAGAATCTCTTTGTCTCTGTTTTTTTTTTTTGCAGTTTGAATATGCTACACTAGATGTTCACTCTATTACATGTCTTGCTTAGTACCTGTCCATAAAAATTCTTAGCCATTATTTCAAATACATTTTGTTTGTTCTTTATTTTCCTCATGTGTGTGTGTGTGTGTGTGTGTGTGTGTGTGTATGCACATCCTTTTTCAGTGGTTGCACAATGTTTACATATTCGGGGATATTTATCACGTGTGTGTGTGTGTGTGTGTGTGTGTGTGTGTGTATGCACATCCTTTTTCAGTGGTTGCACAATGTTTACATATTCGGGGATATTTATCACGTTTATTTTTTCCTCTTTGCTTTTGTTTTGAGAAGTTCCCTGTGTTCTATCTGGAAGCTCCCTGATTTTTCTCATGAAATATATTTTGTCTACTTGACCTACTGAGACATTCTACACTGCTGTTACAGTGGGTTTTTTAAATTCCTTTTCAGATTTGATTTGATTCATTCCTTTCATGTTTCCACTTACTCATTTGTTCTTTCCTGCTAACATGATTTTCCTTTTGATTCTTTAACATATTAATAACATTTATTTTAAATTCTAAAAAATGTGGCATGTGTGCTTAATCCTCATATTTGCTTTGTCACTTTTTTTCTTTTGAGATTTTTTTCTAGTCTTCAACATCCTGTGTAATATTTGCTGAAAATCAAACTTAATTTATGGAGAAATGGTAATTAAGAAACCTTGTAGTGTGAGGTTTTCTGTTTTTCTGCTTTTGGGGGTTTTTTGGTACCAGGGATCGAACTTGTGTCCTTGCACTTGTGAGGCAGGCAGTGGAACCACTGAGCTATATTCCCCCAGCTGGTTTTCTGTTTTTCTAAGGCTCAATATATATATTATTTACTGACACAATATGTCTCACAGACGATAGTTTCCTCTAATTTTCATATGTGTTTGTTTCTTCCACTCTTGTTTCTGGTTTCCCTAAGAAATCCATTTTAAATAGTCTGGATCTTGCACCTCCTTGATTATAGTCCATGGACATTATACTGAAGCCCTGGACATGGTAGTAAGGCTTTGGGGACAGGACATATTGTATAATCATGGAATGAAGTCTTTTTCAGTTGGCTTGAGATCCTAACTTTGACCTTGAGCAGCAATGCTTCTTAACCCTATTTTTGTTTTTCTGAGGAAAGGGAAGGATAAGAAAGGGTTTGACTTGCCTAATTACCTTTCTCCAAGGTCAGGTAAGGTTTGGTAGTTTCCCTAAAAAGACGGGTCGTTTCCAGGGAGCATCACCTTGGCATATTGCAACATAGTTATTTTTATTTTGCGAATATTTTTAAATAGCACTTTTCTATTAATTCCCCAAAACATGAGGAGATTCTTTTCTGTTCTTCATTATCAGGACCGGAGTTTGAACTTCCGAGGGTGTGTTCCCTTCCCCCACCGGAGACCCAGGCATTTTTAACTCAAGGATAATTACATTCGGTCCACCACAATTTATCGAAGTGGTTGTGGAAATACTCCTGCAAGCTATTGATTCTAGTGACTACTGTTTCAGAGAAGCTGATCTTTGTAATGATGCCCTGCTGTTAGCTGTCTCTTCAGGTTTAGGGGTGGCAGTTTGTCCTGTGAGAACAATTCTTGAACAACTCTTAGAAAATGCATTTGTTTTCACTTTAAGTGTTACCTTGGTTAAGATGGAGTTTAGAATTCAAAGTCTTAAAATGTCAGTGCTGAAATCAGAAGAGTCCAAATAAACACACACATTTCTATCATGTTTATTTTGTCAATATCTTATATTTTTATTGCATTATTTATTTTCTTTCTGGTAAATTTTTGTCTCTACATGTTTTCAGGGGTAGGGGAAATAAGGGAATTTTTGATACACAACAAACAATTTTTTATACTGACTTGAAAAATGAAAATATATAAACAAAGCTTAATAATTTAGGATTTCCTTTTGTAAAAGTATGTTGACAAATATTAAATATTATATTTACATTTTGAATACTATAAATATAAAACACAAAACATCCAATGTTAACACTGATCTTCCATGCCTAATTTGAATTTAGATATTGAGTAGTTTATATTCGACAGGAAGGAACTTTCAAAGATTCATCAGTTTTATGTCTATTTTTCCTTATCAAAATCTTCATAAAATTTAAAAATCTGATGTTAAAAGCAGTTCATCCTTCACTTGAATATTCTAAAGCATGCTATTTTGGATTTATCTTAAAATGTTTAGGTTATGAAAGATATGCAAACAGAGTTTCCAAGAATATAGTTTAACATAAGCTAATGTTGTTTATAATTATGAGTGAAGTATCTTTAACTTTAACGAAAAAACAAAACAAAACAAATAAAAATAATCCTGTGCAAATATAAAAGTTTAGTTTGGGTCATTTCTTAGTACAAATAATATACCACGCTAATCAATATTTTAGCCAAATTAATAAAGGCATTTTTAAAATATTTGAATTTTCCAATTGTTAAAAAATGCATTTATGCAGTAAAGGAAGCTGCAAGAAAACTCACAAAAACAAAAAACTCGAACTCCTAAAATATTTGCAAACTGAGAAATTACCAATGTTGCTTAGAAAATATGCCTTACTCATACCCTAAAATTCACTTTAACTGGTTTACCTAAAATTTGACGTTTACAAAGACTGTACCTAAATTCATAATATTTTTGAATGCTATTACTCTGGATCACGTAGTTTTCAGTTATGAGGAAATCACTTGGTAGCGTGAATCAAATTTATGATTGATTAATGCATTAAAACTTATTAATAATTTAGATGGCTTAAAAATCAAGCAAAGGAGTAATTCATAATTGTTCACTACACAGTTCTGTCCGTTTATAATATGAAATCAAGACTTTAACAAATATTTCACACAATTAGATCACATGTTTTCGTGTGTGCTATTGATCAACAAAATAGGCATATTATATATTAGTTAAGGTTCTCGAGAGAATCAGAATCAACAGAAAATATATGTATAATTATCCAAGGGTTTATTAGGTGGATTTACTGGATCAGAGGTGGGAAATTCCACAAGGGCTGTCTGTGAGCTGGAAAGCTGAGGATTGAGTAACTGCTCAGCCCAGAAAGATAGAGACTGCAGAACAAAAGGAACCAAGGACTCAACACCAATCCAAGGTTGAAGGACTGGAAGCTCACTGTGGAGCCACCGGTGTGCATTTGCATTGGACGGCTGAAAACAATGGAGACTAATCAATGTCCAAAGCCAATACTGAAGACAGGAGCTTTTCAAAAATGAGCATATTTCCTTCTTCTTTTACCTTTCATTATGTCCAAGCCTATTGATTGGTGCTTCCTGCAATCAGGATGGGTCTTCTTCCCTCATCTTGCTGGCCTACATGTCAGTCTTCCACAGACACACCCAGAACACTGCTTTACTTATATACAAGGTGTTTCTTAATCTATTCAAGTTGACATACCATGATTAATGGCCTCAGTATATAATGTCAGGCTTTTTCCTGTTTCTAATTTTCTTTTATTTTCTTAAGAGCAGCTCAATGATTCAGGGAGTTGGCTAGTATGATACAAATAACATAGGGGAAAAGTTCAAAATAATACTTTAACACCA